CTAAAACTAATTGATTAATTTCATGGCAAATTAGCAAAGTAAAACTCAATATAGGCTTATTTGAATGAATTTGGATGAATATGCTTCCTATAATGTGTTTATTGCTCATTTAATATGATTTCAAGCCATATCCACCTAAAAATATGTAATATTGACATATTAGGAGAAATAATGAGCTCATTTGATTAAAAATGTAGATAATGGGCAAAGTAGAAGCCATATAGGCCTTAGTGGGTGGAAGTTGGATGAATATGCTTCCTAAAATGTGTTAAGTGCTCATTTGATGTGATTTCAAGCCATAGCCACCTAAAACTATGAATTATTGGCATATTAGGAGAAAGAATGAGCTCATTTGATTAAAAATGTAGAAATTGGGCAAAGTAGAAGCCATATAGGCCAAAATTGGTTGAATTTGGATGAATATGCTTCCTAAAATGTGTTAAGTGCTCATTTGATGTGATTTCAAGTCATATCCACCTAAAAATATGTTTTTTTGACATGTTAGGAGAAAGAATGAGTTCATTTGATTAAAAATATAGAAAATGGGCAAAGTAGAAGCCATATAACCTTATTGGGTGGAATTTGGATGAATATGCTTCCTAAAATTTGATAAGTGCTCATTTGATGTGATTTCAAGCCATAGCCACCTCAAGCTATGTATTATTGACATGTTAGGAGAAATAATGAGTTCATTTGATTAAAAATGTAGAAAATGGGCAAAGTAGAAGCCATATAGGCCTTGTTGGGTGGAATTTGGATGAATATGCTTCCTAAATTGAATGAATTTGGATGAAAATGCTTCCTTTAATGTATTAATTAATAATTTGATGTTATTTCAAGCCATAGTCACCTAAAAATATGTAATATTGACATGTTAGGAGAAAGAATGAGTTCATTTGATTAAAAATGTAGAAAATAGGCAAAGTAGAAGCCATATAGGCCTTATTGGGTGGAATTTGGATGAATATGTTTCCTATGTTAAGTGCTCATTTGATGTGATTTCAAGCCATAGCCACCTAAAACTATGTATTATTGACATGTTAGGAGACTCGTAACTTTTTCTAGAACTCCGGCTATGACCAAAACAAATTGACGCTTGTGCAGGATATGGGAATAAAAAATCCGGGTTGACTCAAAATAAAAAAAATAAAAAAAGGAACTATAACTCGACTTGATAAAAAAAGGAGATGGTTACATAAGAGAAACAAGTCTTTGGTTCATATGTTTAGACATATTTACAAGAAACAAGTCAACACAAAAGGTTAGTTCAATCACAAGTAAAGAATGTACAAGTAATAGATGCACAAGTAGTCAAATAGTCACAATATGATGCAATGAGTTTGAAACCTAATCATGTCTCTAGTTCTCTAAAGTTCAGGGATTATGGTAGTCAAAAGAGGGTCCATGGTTATGGGTCCGGATGCATCACGCAGGATCCTTAACTTTGGAAGGGTTTGACGCGTATGGATGGGACCCTGCAAGTTAGACTTGCTTCAATGGTTTTGTGAATTCACAAACTCGAATGTACCTGTCGTTGCATGGAGCGTTCGATTGATGGGTAGATGGAGCGTGAATTTCCAAGGGCTAAAGACATATGTAGAACACATATGGGTTCAGAAAAGAAGGAAAAACTCAATCAGGAAGTAGAATCGGCGAGATAGTACTGGAATGAATCGGTCAAAACAAGAAGGCAGATTCCTGGCTCGATGTTGAAAGAACTCGGCGTGAGAAAACAGGGTCTATCACACATCGATAGCAATATCGCGTCGCGATAGACACTTCTGTCTCACGACAGTTCCTGTGCTTCGCGGCAGTTTTCTGTGTTCTTCGGATTTTCCGATTTTCGTAGTATCTTTTCGATTATAGTTATGAAAGATATTTTCAACTTTTCCTACGTGTAAAAATCCTATGTTTTTGACGCATTTCGGATGGCCTTTCCAATGCGGACCTTTTTATGCTTATGCCACAATGTTAATTAAAATTACGCACATGAATATTTAGAATCTTTCAAGTCTCATCCACTTATTCTAAAGTCAATTGCCAAAATAAATTTTAGGAATCAAAATTAGAAATCCTCCCAGTGGAGTCGCCAAAAAACTATAGGGAATATTTTAAACATCAACCTTGAGCCCCACTGTGATCATGCATTTAAGCATGGTGGCGTCCAAAGGGAAAGAAGCTAGAGATAAAAGATTCGCCAACAAGTTTTAGGAACTTGTAAACCGTTCACGGGTGTGAAAGTTACACCCCATTCACGATCACGGAGAACACTAACTCCATAGTGGTTCGGAACCATGATTGGATATTCGGGGATGACGGTACGAAACCAACCTAAAAGAGATTGAACCCGCCCTAAATCGGCCTTTACTTAATTCTTACGATATTCATGAGCTCTTTTCGATCAATATACATACATCAAAATTAATCCTAATCATATTTAATCTACGTTGGTTAATCATTAATGCACAAATAAATCTATGATTGGTGATCACTTGAATTAAAATCATATTAGCCTAAATCAAAATTATTAATTATCTTATTAGACGTGATTTCAAGTTAAAATTCCCTTTAAACCTGCAAGAAGGGCAAGCAATAGCAGTAAATCATGAATAATCAAGCAACATATGATTAACACAACAATCATCATCATAACAATATATCATCATAATATCAATATCTCCAAAATAATATTAGTAAGATCCTAGGCATGATACTAAACAAATTAATAATAAATCCTAGCATGTCACTAATAGATAAAGTTCAAAGCGTTACCCTAAACATGATACTATCATGATAATATTAGAAATATTAATTAACACCCTAAACATGATACTATCAAGACACTTAAATGGTAGGTGCAGCAGAACAAGGAAAGAAAATAAATCACTTTTGGAAGGTTTGATAGTGTTTAATGTTGTAGGCCTTTGCGAACAATAAGGTTGATCTATACATGGCATCTTATGAGATGTTTTTGTTTACTTTAAGAATTTTATTTTACTTTTGAGAAGTTTTTGTTTACTTTAACTGTAAGTATTTTAAATTCCTTTTGTCAAAATGATCAATTGCGTTTACTGACTGTTCTTACTATATAATAGCTTACTAGCTCAATCGGTAGAGCATTGTGCAATTGCTCAAAAGATGTGGGTTCGAGTCCCACATAGGTTACTTGTTAGATAATTATTTTTTTATCCACTCTACATTTGAGCTTTTTTTAATTAGTTTTACAATATTTCGAGTTACTTTTTATTATTTTTTATATACTTTTGACAAACGATGCATAATACATGAGAAAACCTATCTGTCGAGGAATTGATCATGACAATTGATTATTATTCATAGTATTCAGACTAGTACAGTTGCACATCTCCCAAAGGAATAGAACTTGTGAGTGAATTTTCAGACATATGAAGCTGCTGTAACAGCACCAGCTTCCCTGATTCACCAGAAATTCGCCCTGACAGATTGTTGACTGATAAATCAAGCACAACCAACGCTGAACAGTTAGAAATCTTAGCCGAGATACTACCTGGAATACTACCTGTCAGAGTATTCCCCTCTTCAGAAGTAAGCTATCCATCTTCCTAAGCCTTCCTAACTGTGGAGGAATCGCATCAATCATCTAATTCATATGCAAATACAAATTCGTATACACACCTTTGAGATATATCTAATTTTGAGTAAATATTATTTAATTTTGAGTAAATATTAATTACTTTTGAGTTAATATTATTCATACACTTTAATGATATTTTGATTCACTTTTTGACTTTTTATTTACTTTTAACCCATTATGATTTACTTTTAAGATATAATTAATCCCACATAGGTTGTATAATTAGCAATTTTTTTGTATTAACTTTTACATTATTTTGAATTAATTATTATTATTTTGTATCTACTTCTAAAATACATTGGAGGATGACTTCAAAGTATCATTCTAGCTTAGATGCCTACATGGTTTAGTGTTCAATAGTACGGAAACAAGCCAATGTTGCAATTATATATACTACAAAGCTACTGCATGAAAGTTACTTAATCATCATAAACAACCTCTTTGTTTGTATACCTTAGAGCTAATTTTATTAGTTTTTAGTTGTTTTTATTTACGTTTAAGTTACTATAATTAACTTATAAAACATCATGATTTACTTTTGATATCTTTTCTAAAGTCACAAATGTTCATACTACATTATAAATTTGTTGAACCTAGTAGAGCTAATTTGATCAACTTTAAAGATATTTCTATTTTCTTTAGAGTGTTTCCTATTCACTTTTAGATATAAACTATGTAGCAATTGAACCTACACCTCTATGCATTCGCATAGTGCTCTACCATTTGTGCTAATAGGTTTTAGCACACTTGGTGGTAATAATCAGAAATATAGAGATAACCTATGTAGGAATCGAACCTACACCTCTAAGTGGATCCACATAGTGCTCTACCACTTAAGCTAATAGTTTTACTTTAAAGCGTTTTTTGTTTACTTTAGATTCTTTTTTATTTACGTTTAGAGACAATTGTTCTACGCTTATTCATCATTTGTATTTTAAAACCATTTCAAGATATAATCTATTCAATAAGTAATTGAAAACCACATAAATACAAAGGCAATAATTATAATCTTTAGCATATACATACTTTGGAAGAAGGATACTAAGATTTCAAGGTAAATACAAGTAAACTTGACCACTTTTTACATTTCCTCTTAATTGTCATTTCTCCTTAACTACAATGGCAAATGCATATACACTTCACTTAATTGTTTTTTCATTTTCTGAAAATTGTATAGAGAAATCGAACTGATCCAAACCTTGAAAACCCCAGGCCAATTGCTGAGTTTGACACACTATTGAAAAGGTTTGATGAATCATTCAACCAATGCCATTAAATCTCTATTTGGATTCAACAAGAAGTAGAGATATAATTTTGTACTTACAACACTATATTTTCATTGAGGCTATCTTGTGTTAACACTGTTTGAGCACATACATGTTCCATATCATATAGAAAGATAATTGTCCTCCTCACATTCATTTAACGAGGAGATACTTGCTTTGTCAAATTTTCTTCTTCTCCCTCTACACTATTGCAAAGGAGGTGAGGAATCCACCATTTCATAGCATAATACATCACACCCTCTATTTTTTTACACCTTTGTTGCAGGAATTGTCTACAAATTTAACTATTACATAACCAATCAAACAGAAAAAACATAACAGTGAATTATATTAAGTTTCATTTATTTGCTCATATTTCAATTTGGTTTCAGAAACTAGCATTAAAAAGTTAAGAGACATTTAATGCATCCTCGGCCAAGAAGTATCCCGTCATGCATGGTGTAGAAGATAACTTCAATTAATTTCTCGAATTCCTTTTCCTAGTGCCTAAGATAATAACAACAAAGGTTTGCCACACTAAATATCAGTGAAAAGTTTATATTATAACTTTCACAACCATACTTGAATGATGCAGCCTACGTTCCAACAATGACATGCTAATAATAATAAACCAGAGATACATCATACATGCTTGTTAAGCTCCGAAAATCCTATAGCCCCATAAATCCAAGCCTCAACATTATAAAAAAAACAAAGCACATTTAACGTACATGGAAGCTCCGAAAGCAATTATAATATACTCTAAGCACCTAAATACAGCAACAAGGTTCCCTAGCAACAAAACAGAAATTAAGAGTAGACAAATCCAACACATAGAAGTTCTTAATAATAGAGTAACAACCAAAGAACCATGACATATAAATGAAGAAGCTAAGAAATTGAGATATCATAATTTTAATATTTTGATTTACTTTAAAACATAATTGAATTACTTTTACTTAGTTTTTATCTACATTTGAAATTGATAAAATAATAGGTTTCATTGGGGCATTTTTTCAAACAGTTAGTGTGCATTTAGAAATTTATTTTACTTTCAAAGAGATATATACAGATCAATTTGATCTAAATTTAACAAAACAAAAATTTAAGAAACTCACATAAAAATAGATGAAGATTAAGCATAATCAGAAAATAAGATTATGACTATCACGAATTCTGAATTAAAATTTCTTTCATAATTAATTAAATCAAGCACTCACTTGATTTCGCTTAAAATTTGATGGAATTTAAGAAAAATCTGCTCGTATTGAATTGTCAAATAACAACAAAATATCACTAAATTACAATTTATTGAAAATCATTACTAGGATTCGACAAATTGAATATATGTTCATTAATTACCCTTTTATGATTAATTCATAACAAAAACATCAATTGATATCGTAGAAAATTTAAAATCAACACCGAAGAAATTCAATAACATAACTTACCTCGAAAGAAAATCTGGTCGGAGAACGAAGATTGGAGAAAATGTTGAAGCAGATGGACGACGAGAGAGAGAAAATTGAAAAATCTAAAGAAAATGATTGGATGGCAGTTAATGACACGGGAAAGATTACGGTCGTCCGACCTCAATAATTAAGGGATAGGATTAGTTCCTGATTCCTATTATAGAGCTAGTTTTCATTATAACCTGGTCATATATATATATATATATATATATATATATATATATATATATATGTATATATGTGTATATATATGTATATATGTGTATATATATATATATATGTATATATATATATATGTATATATATATATATATTCGTAGGTCGATAATGAATTTCTTTTAAACATAAAATAGTTGAAGGTGTTCAAGTTTTAAATGATTTTATTCAAACAAAAATCGAAATCTGAAATTGTGGATCTGAAAAATATGACGGATTTTCACATTTTAATGACGGAAAAATTATGTCCAAACTGCAAACTCTTCCGACGGATATTTAATCCGTCGCAATTTACAAACGGAAAGGGTCCCTCGCAATTTTACGACGGAAAAAACATCCGTCGGAATTTACACTGTTTCCGACGAAAAATTCTGTCGAAAAACATATCACTTGCGACGGAAAAGTCCGTCGGAAAGGTTTGGTTCCGACGGAATGAATTCCGTCGAAAAGGTTAAATTTCGACGGAATTCAATCCGTCGGAAATTTGCGACGGATTTGCAGTTTGGGTTAAACCTGATTCCGACAAAAAAATATCCGTCGGAATTCTTTGTTCTGACGGAATTTCTGTCGTAAAATGCCAACTTTCCTACAAAAGGTTTTCCGACGAAGGCTTCCAATGAAAATTCTGTCGGAACACAGAATTCCAGTAGATTTTCGACTATTTCCGATGGATTTTTTCCGTCGAAAAATAGTTGTTTTCTTATAATGCAACAACCCAAAATGCAAACTCAAAATCGCGCACCCTCTCACTCCCTCACTTTTCACCACCCCCACCACCCACTTCGCCACCACTCGCCGCCCTCTCCTTCACCGCATTTCCCTCTCCACCACCCGCGTCACCTTCCCGAGCTAATTCACCAACCCAACAATAACAACAAAATGCAACAATAACAACCACATAAACCACCGCGTCACCCCGCAACAACAAACACCAACAAATCAGCCCACATCGCACCACCTCCGCCACAAAAACAGCCGCAATTACAGCCTAACAATTACCCAACCACCGCAATTAACCAGCCACCGCAATTAACAAGCCACCGCAATTACCCAGCCACCGCAATTAACCAGCTGTGGCGGAGACCACGAGGGGAGAGAAGAAAATGAGTATTTAATCAAAATAAAGGGTATATAATTAACAGAAAAAGACAGGTGAAATTAAAAGCAAGGTCTTTGTTTGGGTTTGGTATGTAAAAAATTACGAAAACCCACTAAAGAAAATGGCAAATTGATTGAGAATGGAAAAATTGAAGAAGTAGAGTTGGAGGGTATTAGAGGGGTGCACGTGGGAAGCAGAAGAGAAGGAATTGGGTATTCTAGCATGGAATGCGGAGTGAGTGACTGGGGTTTTGAAATTGACTGGCGCAGCAGGGGAGTAGAGAGAAAGTCCGGTAAAAGAAGGAAAAGGGATTTTTGTAGAAAAAATGGGTTGTAGCACGAACTATATATTGGGTGTGAACTGCCGCACCCAATAGTTTGTGCAAAAGTTATTATTTTTCTAATAATATATTTTATCTTACAAAAAAACTTATAATGCATTAGATTAATCATATTAGCCTTTATAGTATGTAATCATGAATCTATAAGATATTACACATTAAAATTAAATTCAAATTAAAAGTTACCCTTTAAGTGGTTAAAGTTACCATAAATATAGTTAAAGTAGTTACCTTCAAACTAACCGTCTTACAATAAAATGAACGTACACCCACCTTACACAAGACTTATTGATACATAAATAGAAATAAAGGCTAGTCTCCCTATGGCGGAGTACCGTCGTTGGTTTAGTTGTTTGTTTGTCTTTAGGTTTGTGTGTGTGTATGTGTGTTAGGGCTTATAAAAAAAAGTAATCAACCTACGCCTTATTATCAGTTTGTTGGTAAAGATTCGTGCGAGATCGAAGCGCTTGTCGAATTCTCAAATACATTTAAGCGAATCTGATAAAAATCATTGGGTACAACAAATCATTAGACCGTCTTTCTAAAAGACTGCATATATACTTCAGCGATGTGTGTGTGTGGGGGGGGGGGAGTTGGGGGGATGTACGACAGTGCAAGATCTATTTAATGATCGTAACTTTGATGAAAGAAACCTTTGTTTGATTTTATTTTATATTTTTGTTAATTTAGATTTCATTCATAGATGTCGTATAGCTTTTTTTATTAATGCATTGATTTTGTTAAAAAATAATAATTCTTATTTAAGGTGGACTTATATTAATTTATTATAAGACGAGTTAAGCTATCTTAACCATATATAAATGTTCCCTTATATACTATAAGAGATATCATATTCCTAATATAAATTTTACTTTTAAAAAAACACTTAGCATGTATTAGATTAATCATATTAGCTTTTATAACAAGCATTTATTAAAAAATACACATTAAAATAAATTAAACCCATCACAAATTAACATGCATTTATTATAAAATACACATTAAAATAATTTTAAATTAGGTAGTTAGGTGCCCTTGCTTAGTTTGGCATAATTAGTGTTAGTTGAGACGAACTTCTACAAGAGGGGGGTGAATTGTAGTGAGTTCCTAGTGACTACTTTTGCGGAATTATAAAACGGAATATTAAAGGAACTTGCAATGCACACAGAATTTTACGAGAAAACCTTCCAAGGCCCAATTGGAAGTAAAACCTCGATCCTCCAAGGGATTTCAAACACCAAACCAATCCACTATAATAGGCCAAACACTCCTAGTTACAACCTATTACAATAAGACCTTTCTCACAAGTTCCTGACTGAACTTGCTACTCGATAGGACCCTATCCTACCCAACTTAAGTCCCGGAATTTGATTCCACATAGCACTCCCAGAGTACTAAACACTCGGCTTCTCACTAGAAGTTCACTCGGGTTCAACCTTGAAGCCTACAAAATGTATGCAATATGCTAATCACTCACCCAATACCAAAATAATACAAAATCTTGACTCTAATATGAGCCTGGAAAGCTAGACATGAAATCCGAAACTAATATGAGAAAGTTTAGACTCGACAAACTTACTCTTAAGCACTCTTCAGATTTTTCACGCATAAACTCACAAGTTGTTTCAATTATGATCTCTCCTTTATATACAAGAAGTACTTGTATGTAAAGTAGGGTTTTCAAAAGATAGAATATTAGAATACTGTCGTTTAATAAAACCCTTGTGAAATTAATCTTTTGAAGAAATTTATTTGGAAAACTCAACAAAGATATAATTTAGAAAAGATTATTATTTTGCAAAACCAGATTTTATAAGATAAAATCTCTCAAAGATCTTTTCCTAAATTAAAACTTATCTTTTATAAAATTTCCGTATTTAATCTCTTTCCAAGTTTTGCCACGCTTCTAATAGATTTCATGCATAAACTAACCAAACATATTTACAACAATCCTAGTAAAAATAAACTTAACAAAAACCTTAAGAATAAGACTTTTAGTCTATTGCTGGATTGTCTTCTCAATCTTTGCATTGTATAAATATTTGGGCTCTACGCAGGCCAGGACTGAGTTCCTGCTGTCTTCAACTCTCCAGCTCCGTGCTGGAACTCGTAGACCAAGTTCTAGTAGAACTTGCTTTCTTCAACGCAGTCCAAGCTAGTCTTCTTAGCTTGCTGTCAAGCTCCTGTTAGGGAGCTTCTTCTTCATGTTCCTGTTAGGGACCACTTTCTAGTTCCAATGAGGAACTCTTCTTCTGTTCTCTTTATCTTTCCTTAAATTCTCCTTGGATCTTCATAGACAGGCTACTCTTCCACTTCAATTCCAAAGTGAACTTCACCTGTTCTAATTAAATACTTGGAGAAAACGCATTAGTTGAAGTTTTCTTTTACTCATCTTCATCAAAACTCTTAAGCTTCAACAATTAGTTTACTTTGGTTCCCTATGGTTTCAGTAATATTACTTTGGTGATGTGAAATTTTAAATTTCGTTTCACTTTGTGCTTCTAATATTTTAAACCTTTTAACATTTTGGTTGATGTATGAGGTTGATACCATGTTTTATCCCGGTTTTACGATGTATATTTGCATGGTTTTAGGCTCTATGGAGCCATTTCTTGCTAACAATATCTTCTCTAGTGTGTCCGATGTATTTTTATTGAGTTTCATAGGAATACGGAGTTTCTTGTACAAATCGGACGTGTTTTGGATGTTTATAGAAGAAGTTAGTGTGTGAAGATGAAGATTTCCCCCATGCCCTGTTGACCCTAGCTTGCCCGGTCAGACAGGGCAAAGAAGGATAAGCTAGATACGGAGTATATGCTGCAGACTCTACATGCCCGGTTGGGCATAGCTCGCCCGGTGGGACCGGGCACTGAAGAGTTAGAATTTCACATCTCAATTTAAGAAGCCGCCTTGCGCACCCGATCGGGCGTGGCTTGCCCGGTGGGACCGGGCACAAGAAGGAAGATGAAATACGAAGAAGAGGCGATGCAGCACCTTTCACCGCCCGATCGGGCACCCCTTGCCCGGTTGGACCGGGCACTGTTTTGCGGAAGTCGATTTGCTTATTTTCGCAATTCTATCTTTTGGGGGGTATAAATACCCTTTGTAATCACAATTAGAATACACTTCATTATATCTTATAGTATTAGTTTTCTCTAAGAACCTAGTTTTACTTTCTTTTAAGCATTTTAATTCTTCTTTTAGTTTGATTATTGTTCATCAACAATTTGAGTTCTTTCAATTGAAGCAATTTGGTATTCATCTATCTCACTTCTCTTCCATTTATTATTGCTTATTGATTATGTTTTCTCTATTAAATCTTGTTATTGGTTTTGCTATTATGTGTGAGTAGATTCATAATCCGGGATCTTGCAAAGCCCGGATATGATTGATGCTTAGATTTAATCTTTAAATTCTCCAATAATATTTCCAATTGACATGTATGATTGATTGTGTTTATGTCAATACTAGATTAGGAATAATTGGTATTGTTATCATCCCTTTGTTTTTATTGCAACGGAAGT